TAGAAATCGGCTTGCCCTCTTGTGTATGCACTAGTGCCAATTTCACCAACCAATGGGGTCTTTATATAGTGTGCATATTAGGGTTACACCATGTAACTCATGACTTTACCCATTCCTTATGCTCCATGGGTTTTAACCTCCATGGAGTATCCATGGGTCACCACATGGGTTAAACCCAACATAAGGAATCATGGATCATAAGCCCACATATATAAGAATGAATGATTTACACAATCAATCCCCATATATTTAATTAGTCTCTTTTGATCACTAAATTCATTCCAAATTAATTCTTGATCAATACTAAATAAATAATATGATTTCATATTAATATATTAGAACTTATAATATATTAATATGTCACAAATATCATCTTCTCACAAAAGGTCTATCCAAATGTCCCGATGCCATGCAACCCAAATGGACCATGCTGATTCGGGTCAAGTATATATCAATTATAGTTATGGACTTAGACACTAATCCAACAGGTCAAACTGGTCAAAAGTCGATGGTCAACTGTCAACAAAAGTCAACGGCTAATCAAGTCAACCTCCACAATGACATGGAGACCTCTTGGCCACATTGTGGGAACATCAGGACAAAATAGTCAGACATCTGAGAACCACCACATCGTGGCAAGCCCATTTCAATATCGTGGAAACTGACAGAAATTCATATTCTTCATTAAGTACTTAATCCTTACAAATATAAGCCCAAAACTTCAGATCTACTTCTTATCAATGACTTAATAGACAAAGTTTACAACTTTTTCCATTAGGTGTCCACCACAAGTAAATATCTTTAATTTTTATTCCAATAAGTCCTTAATGAGGCCATATCGTGAGCATGGACACAAGGTACTCCAAACATGCCTCTTTTTCTCATTCATCAGAGCGATATGGACCTTAGAAAGCCATCACAAGCTCTAAAGTTATTCAAAATCTAGGATCATCCAAGGAAGGGACCAAAAATAAAGCAAAATGGACTTATACTAACATCGAGAAGAACAAAGGTCAAGTTGAGGGATTTATACCTCCAACAACTCAAAAATCTAAAGGAGATGATAGATCCAAACTGATTCCTTGCTTCCTTGAACCAAAATGATCTTCCTCTTTCCTCAAGCTCCACCAAAATCCAAGAATAAGATCTTCAATCAAGCAACCATGCTCTTAATCATCCATGAAGACTAAGGTTTCGTGGTGAGGGGTTGGAGGCTGAAAAAGATGCCCTAATCGATGAGATTAGGCGCTTAAATATGGAAGAAACCCTAAAAATCATGTGCTATTGCTGCAGTCGCCGCCATGTCGTGGCCTTCTTTTTGCCACATTGTGAAAGTCAACCGAATACGTATTTCATGCATTTGGCATGCCATGTCGTGGTGCCCCATTTCCGATTTAATCCTTAGCGAAGACATACACCCCATAAGAGAAACAACAATTAGCCACATAGTGAGAAACTAATTCCTTAACCATAATTTGAAGACTCCAAGTTTGTGTCCGACAATCTGGCGGACAATTTCATTCTATAAATCAACCATGCTGACCAAAATTTCATAGATTCGATTTGACCAAGATCTCCCCGGCATCGTGTCACCCTACTGATAAACCGAATTATGAAAACCTCGACTGACCGCCACCGGTAACCATGCATAAAATTACACTAGCGAAATCCTGAACAGAATCCAATCAGAAATACACCAAACTAAACTATATACCCACTTGGATCTACTATCCCTAAACCACTAACTACTAACTGTCCTTAATCTACCCCTGATCTACCGACCGCTAACAACTCTAGGGATTACCCCCGACTTGCTAATCACTAATATCTCTCGCCGCCTAACGTAGGCACACACCGAACCTATGAAACTCAAATTATCCCAATCAGACATTTTGGTCTTGACTCGGACCCCGAGATCCCAATAAAACAAGAACAGATGATGAGATCCTCATCGTAACCCTTGACCTGAGCTCCTAACAACCAAAAACCCTTTATGCACGATAATTCCTCATGGAACACCAACAAAAAAACAATTAAGACGATCCGAAAATAATTTTGACAACTGGTAATGAACCAACACGGAACCATGAAGATTAATAGTTGCATGAAAGTCTTTAACTAGAGCAATCGTGGCTAAAGACTGCATCCAGGTACGAGATTCTCCTGCTATGAAGTCTCCTCTCTCACTAACTTGGAATCGGTAAACTCCGATGACTCGAAAACCCTTCAACATTTCGAGTCAACCCAAAACATTACCATGTGTTTCCTAACAAACACACCCTGATATCCAGAGGCAAAAGAGAATATGAATCCTTCAAACCAACTCCAAGATTTCAACACACATTTACAAACCTCACAATCAATAATCAATCCAATCATAAATAATGAATCAGAACATAACCAGAGTTGATTAAAACAATACCATTCAACTAGTAATTTAAGATTACAACTAAAACAACACAGAAATAAACAGAAAAGATACGAATAACATCAACAATGTAACATCCAACCAAATTGAAGAACAGATAATTCAAAGCTCAGCCCTTGGAACTCCAACTGTCCCATGTCGTCCATCCAGTAACTACCAAGTTGAGGGTGTAGGGTTCTGCACTTCACCGAAAAATGAGGAGAGGGCAATGAGCTCTGATGTGGCCCTCCTTGTTGCAATGGAAGCAAATCCATGCACTTTGCCTACAATCCCTTCCAAAATTTCCCTCCTTCCCACATCTGCGACACACAAAAGATCGACGCCTCCCACCATGAAACTTTCTGCACTTACCACACTTGGAACTCCTTCACTCTACTGCTCCTGATGTTAAGTCGGCAGAATTGAACCGCTTGGCCGCCGACTGCAGCTGTAGTGAAACTGGTCTCTCCTCCTTCATCTGGGTCTCTAAATCAATCTTTCTCCTCCTGGAATTTGACTGTAGCTCAACCAAAGTCCAATACTTTTGAGTTGACATGAACTCCTGAATATCAACATTGATCATAGTCAAGTATCGCAATGTCTGCATCCGTTTTGAAGCGGCATACTCCGAGCAGAAAAGGGATCTCTCGGGAAACATCTTGGTGATCTCTTTCACCGATTTTGTCGTCTTTTGGAGTGATAGATACTCATGTTCCATTCGCTCTCTCTCCATAAGTGGAACATACTCCACCCAAAACATCTCCAAAAATTGCTCTGTTGGAGTGATAGATTTTGTCGTCTCTTGGTTTTAATTAGATAGCAAAGGAATGCAATTACAGTTTGTTTTAAGACTCCTTAAAAACTTCCTCTCTACTATCAACAAGCACTCCTTATATATGACATACAAGGAAGGCAGTTGAGCTCTGACCAATCAGGTCTGGACACCTAGGCTACATACAACTGTCACAAAAACAAACTTATAATTGCAAACCTATGTAAGTCAATGCGAACACAAATAGAACATTCATATTAACACTAAACATTACAATCGTTCCGAACATCATTTCACATTGCAAAACTTAAATACAACATTGTAAAATACGATCCTAATAATCTCCCCCTTTGTATTGAGTTGCTAAATCAGCCTTCAATTATGATCTTTAAAAAATGGACCAATAATTCCCATAAGAAGAAGCCTTGCCCATATCCACCATCTCATAATTTCTGAAACCCATTTCAAATCTTTCTTGGTGTTTACTTTGCTGATTTTCACACTCTTGGAAACTTCAACGTCCATCTTGCTGATTTCCACACAATAATTTATGATCATGCGAGTGATATGCAAAAGTTGTGAACCAAACTCTATTCATCCTTCTTCAGTATTCCATAAAGAACAATCCAATAATGAGGATTCATGATGTGCAGATCAGCAAGAGTAATCATAGATCGTTCTTTGATATCACCCCTTCAAATTGTGAATTTGTAGTTTAAAAATTCATCAATCTTAGTTTCTTTAAACTTCTTGACTGACATAATACGCTTGAATAACCAGACTTTGTATTGTGGCTGGAAATAGTTGAGATAGAATGTAAAAAGCTTCTAGTTCACACTACTGTTAGATAAAGGAGTTTTAGCCAAATGATTAAAGCTTTTAAACAGAAAAGCTCTCCCACATATTGGCAAATCCAATTGAAAATCAAGAATGTTCTCAACAAAATATGATGAATTGGGTTCAAGCCAATACTTCTCAACCTTCTTGATTACAACATCTTGATTTCTTCCATAGTCCATTTGGGCCATAAAAGTCTTAGAGAATCTTTTGTTGCTTATTTATCTCTCTTCTTAACATCAATCCTAGCAAACTCAAACTCTATTTGCTGTAATCTTTCAATCTCATCTTCCTTTTTTTTTCCTCTATTCCTCTTTCTCAGCTTCAACATTATTAGGATCAACTTCATTTGGAGTAAGAATTCTAACAGAACTAGAACCAACACCATCTTCTGAAAACTTTTCGAGAATCAAACATACTATCATTCAGTTGTCTTTTCATTGATCCATGCCCAATCTGAATCTTCAAAGCATCAACTTTCTTCATCAACTTGGGAACATCATAAGGAAGTTTGACACAAATGGATTCCTTTTGAACATTCATAATCGGTTCCTCTTAAACAATATTTTCAATCTCATCTCCCCCTTTTTGAGAAGTAGCACCACTAATCGCAATACTATGATTTATTTGAGGGAGAATGGGAGCACGTTTCGTATCCAATAATTATGACATATAATCAACATATGGAGTATACTTCTCTTCCATAATACGAACAAACATTCGATTGATCTCAAAGTTTATCCCTTTAGTTAAAATCATTTCCTCTTCAACGTTCTCAAGTTCTTTATTTGTTTTCTTCAACTCCAATCTTAAAGAGCGAATCTTCTGTTCCTTCACAGGCAGCTTATCAGCTATCTCTACTTCAGTATCATAATGTGAAACAAGAGTGTTAATGGAATTAACAACCTCTTGATTATGACCAGTGTTAGCAGCAAGAATTGAAGTTTTAAGCTCCTTAACTTCATTCAAAATAGAATCAACTTTTTATAAAGCATTGTTGGATGTAGGAAGAGCAGTCTGAACTTTTAGAGTAGCTTCATCAATAAACTTGGCTTGAGCATCAAATAATCTTTTACTTTCACCAATAATTGTTTTCAAAGTATTCTCATGAGTAATCATTAGAATTTGAAAATTGGTAGGAAAAAAGGAATCAGACCTACGAACCAAAGCATTCAACTTTCGGTTAAACATCTGATAATATTTTATGGTGGCAGGAGCAAAAACTATTTCATCATCACGATCACTTTCATCATCTAGAAAAGAGGCTGCTAGAATTGGTTCAACAAAAGTTTGAAAGGACCTAATTTGTTCGAATTCATCGTCATCTGGAACATTGAAATCATCATTCTCTTCAGACACATGCTCTTCATTTTGAATTAAAGGAGGTTGAGTAGTTGTAGTAGTAGAATCAGTGAAAATTGGTGGAGGTAATGGTGTAGAAGTTGTTACTGATGAAACTGGTGGAGGTTGAGCAATTGTTTGAATTGGAGTAGTGGTAGATGGATTAGATATTGTGGGGGGAATTGGTGTAGTAGTACTTGGTGGAGTAAGAGGTGGAACAATAGGTGATTGTGACTGCGACTGAGAAAGATTAACAATTGGTTCTTGCATAATGTTGTGATAAACATCTTCATCATTCTGAACAAGAATCAGAGTTGTAAACAGAATAGTAGTATTCACCTAAGCATTCACATCAGAGGATCTACCAGTATCTTCCAACATCATAGTATCATCAATACGATCATCACTAATCGTGGCATCATCATCCTCATCAATGACAGAAACTTGCTTCTACTTTTTCTTCTTCTGTTTCTTAGAAGCCTTTTCGGAAACACCTTCTTGAACAATTTTCCTTTTTCGCTTTCCACCTGTTCGTTTTGGAGAAACAGTGGATTCCAAACCCGTTTGCATCGAATGTGTCATGGATCTTGAACCAAGTTTGGTAATTTTCCTATAGATCGTAATGACTTCATTTTTAGCTAGGAATTCTTTAAGCATCAATTCGAGAATAGCTCCAATATAATGAAAATCTTTCGAATTCAAAGAAGTAAAAGTGGAAGTATTCAACACAAAAAAATTGACCATATGAGCATCATACATTATAGGAACTTTGAAATGATCATGAGCATTCCTCACTACGATTGACCAAAATATCGCACACGAGATGTCCACATTCTTTGTTCAAGGAGAAATACTTTGAGTAAATTGCACCCATAATATTTGACCCAAGTCAATATTCTCACCAGAATACAATGCATAAAGAAAAGTATGCAACAATTTGTTCGCATTATCTAAGCCAATGATTCGCTCAGAAAAACAACAAAACAAAATGGTGAATAAAGCATTCCAAACTGGTGGTAACAACGACTTTTTGAACTTCGAAAGCATGACCAAATCCTCCTTATATCCTATTTTATAATAAGATTTGATTATCGAAACAAGGTTAAGTATATCTGGATTGGAATAATCTTCACCAGTTCGTAACCCTAATAACTTGCAGAAAGTAGATTTTGAGATTTGCGTCTTGTGCTCTTGAACTTCAAAGTTCATAACATCTAAAACAATATTTTAAATTGAAGAAGTATAAGCCAACATGAAAGCAGATAAAGGAACCTATGAATAATGCGTTAGGCCTTTTCTTAAAATTGAATACTTCAAATACACAATCATCGCTTGAACATCAGTTAAGTACTTCCACTCATCAATATCCAATATCATATTTTGATTTTCCTTTACTACGAGATGAGTCAATGATGCATATTAATCCATGAAAGAGATGTGACTGGAAGAGGACTCCATTAGTGATTCAGACAAAGACACATATGATGAAGAAAAGATGAGAGAATTCTTTTGCTATAGCACTGAAATGTTTGAAGGTGTAAAGAGAAAAAGTGTGTGTTGAACTGGGTATTTATAGGTAGGAGAAACCCAAACATCAAATTTGAATTTTAAAATGACCGGTAAAGTGGGAAAGATGAACCGCCAAGAGCTATCATGAGTACACATCTAATCCCATGCCAGTCTTGATTACCACACCCATCATTACATAATTGAGGTCCAATAAGAAGATGTCATCTCACCAAATCTTTATAATGGAGATATAGTGATCGATACGAATAAGCTTTCACATTGAAGTTCTCTTCGCATCAGTTAGTAACCAGTACGATCCACTACGATCAATTGCAACCGTCGCAATGAAATCTTCACATCACCAAAGAAAGAACATGCCAATTCAGTTTGCAACAATTTTGTAATAACTGAATCCACCCTTCAATTTTATAAAAATTGAAATAATATTCATTGGAATTACGACCAATGTTACATCATCTCCAAATAGAACAAGGCCAACGAAGAGTTTCATCTAATCACATGAAGAATGACTAGAATCATAAACTAAACTTGGTAGAATCTTCGAAACAAATTGGTTTGACTCAAAACCTCAAGGATTCTAGTGCAAATATGTTCCAAAGAATATGAGAGAATCAATAATAAAAAATTTGGAAATGTTGTGATATCAAAAATTATTTTGATATGAAAGAAGTATGATCCCATATAAAGATTATATTCCTTCAAATTCAAGAGATATTGAGAAGTGCTTGTGTGGTTTCCCCGTTGAAATACAATCGTCAACTTGTTAACAAGTTACGAAGGGCTTCTTTTCATAAGGCTGAATGGGTAGGTTCAATTCATAACATATTTGAAACTCTAATTAAATAAGTGCAATGATACAAAAGAAAACACATTTGATTGATCACTATAATAAAATTCAAGTAATCATAGGCATTGATTAAGATTTAAGTACCAAAGTAGAAAAGAATGTTCATTCAAAAATCTCACAATAAGAAAAATAAAAACTAAACCTATTTGGTAGAAATGATTTGGAATCAATCAATTTCATTAAGGTTTCGCATCATGAAAAAGTATGAGATTTTGAAAATTGGTAAGTTCCGTCAATTAATGAGTTAAAAACTAGAGCAATATTGTTCACCGTCAATTCCTTAAAATGTGTTGTTTTGTGGGTTTGAATTTCATCACGGTGATAATGATTTCAAGATTATAAACACAGAGTTTTGGCACACCTAAATTCTAGTTGGTTATGAAATAAGAAGATGGTAAACAAGTTTTGCACAAGCTCATGGTGAAAATGAATTTGATCCTAGAAACGATTTTCGAAAAACCATAATTCCAAGTTGATATAGACTCAGAATGTCAAAGGTTAACTGAAAACCATGATTGAATAATCATCAATTCATTTTGGGAAATGGATATTTTAGGTTTCATAAAGATCATGGGAAGAATGACCTTATGATCAAGAACACATAATTTTAATAACCATAGACCAAGTTGGCATGTACTTGAATCATTAAGGGTTATTGTGGAGTTGATGTAAGATATGGACGAAAGTATATGATGGAATACGATGTTACATCCTAGAACACATTAACGTTCAACAAACAAAAATACTTTTAGATTTTTGAAAATTTTATAAAAGAGAAAATATTAAAATAGACTACGACTCGTTGCGATCAATCGCAGCCAGTCCCAGTTGAATAGTAAAATTTATAACTATAAAAAACAAGATTTTCCCGTTATGACTTGATACAATTGATCACATTCGATCACATTTGAACAGTAACCATTTGCAATATCATTTTGTTACGTTCCACTAAGTCTGGTCATAGTCAGTCACAATTAAACAGTAACTTTTCGCATCCTTATTTGATAATAGAAATCGGAAGTAATTCTGCCTCCATCATTCCTAGTCCTTTAAGAATACGATTCAAAGATGCTTCGAGTAAAGTTTTGGTAAATATATCTGCTAAATGATCCGCATATCTAACAAAATGCACTTCAACATTTCCTTCTTGAACATGGTCCTTGATAGAATGATATCTTAATGCGATATGCTTGGTTTTGGAATGTTGAACAAGATTGTGAAAAATGTGAATAACATCAGAATCGCAATATAATGGTATATTTTTCATACTTAGACCATAATCCCTTAATTGACTTTGAATCCAAATTATTTGAGATGTACATGTTTCTTTCTTTAATTGCTAACTCACTAATTTCCTATCTAAGAATTGACAGCCACCAATGGTACTCTTCCAATCAAGACCACAACCTCCAAGACCAGCATCTGAATAGGCCTGAACAAAGAACCCAATGTTAGTTGGATACCATAATCCCAAAGATGTTGTCTTTTGTAGATATCTGAAAATATTCTCCACTTCTGTCATGTGCGGTTCCCTCGGATTCGCTTGATATCTGGCATAATAACAAACAAAAAACATGATACCAGGTCTACTTGACGTTAAGTAAAGTAAAGATCCAATCATTTGATGATACAAAGTAATATTAGCACCAGGTTTGTCAAGAGACGAAGTGAGTTTCGTTCTGAATGCCATCAGTAACGTTTGAATCACCAGTCATATCGAACTTGGTAAGCAATGCCTTTGTAAATTCCTCATGGTTTATGAAGATCTCCTGTTTACTATGTATTATATTCAATCCAAGAAAAAAGTTAATTGGACCCATCGAGCTCATCTCAAATTTAGTTTCCATAAATATTCGGAAATCAGATGTAAGCTAAGGATTTGTTGATATGAAAAAAAAATATCATCAACATAAATTTGGACGATCATCAGATGACCACCTTCCTTTTTACGAAAGAAAGTGGGTTCAACAAAACCTTGTTTAAACATCGATCGTCTCAGAAAATGAGTTAGAGTTTCATACCATGCACGAGAAGCTTATTTTAACCTATACACCGCTTTGTCAAGTATATAATAATGATCAAGATACTTTTCGTTAATAAAACATGGTGGATGTTCAAAAATAGACGGTTTCTTCCAATTCACCATTGAGAAATGCATACTTCACATCCATTTGAAATACTTCAAAGTTATTGTGAGTAGCATATGCAAGAAAAATGTGAACTGATTCCGATCTGGCTACTGGTGCTAATGTCTCTTCGTAGTCAATACCTTCCTCTTGGCAATAACCTTTCACAACGCGACATGCTTTTTTGCGAACAAGATTTCCCTCTTTTTCAAGTTTGTTGCGAAAAACCCACTTCAATCCAACGAAAAAAAGCAATTGGAGGTGTTAGAATTAACCTCCAAACCTTTTTTATTTCAAATTCATTTAGCTCTATTTGCATTGCTTCCACCTAATCTGAATTATCAAGTGCAGCTTTTACCGTCTTTGGTTTAATTTTTGATATGAATGAGTTGAACATGCAAAAATCTTGATTCGCATTGAGTAATGCTTATTTTTCCTTTTGCTAAGCACAAGTAAGAACCGATGTTGTAAAAATCAGAAAACTCGGCCGAGTTACTCGGACTCGGCCATCTACCGAGCTGAGTTCTTCTTACTTGGCTAAAAAACTCGGAAATAATTTAAACTCAGTTAAACTCAGACTGACTCAGTGTAACTCGGACATACTCGATCTGATTTCAACTAAACCAGTTGGGCCTATGAGTTAACACGGTCTAAAGTGGTCTGATATGAGAATACCTTTAACAAAAAAGACTTATATTTATAATAACATACACGCCTCTTATTTCTTTGTTTGAGTCGATGTGGGATCAATATTACACAGACAAATGAAAACAAACGTTGCCTCTACAATCACAATGCGATCGATGCCTAGAAAATGAGACCGACGCCTCTTCACAAATGAAATTGAGCATGTACATTAGTGTCATCTTCTCCTCTTCACATATGAAATCGAGGTTAACTCACAATTGAAATCATTGGTCTCACTCGAGTCATTATCAACTTCGATACTCTCTTTCTAAACTGGTCGTCACCATCACTGAAAGGTAGGGTTTAACCTCTTGTCGTCTCCATTTATATTACAAGGGTTTAATCACTAGTTAGAAATAGGGGTTTTGAACTCTAGGGTTCTGCGAGTTCTTAATTGGATAAGTTTGTTTGTAATTTTTTTCTTTATATTATTGTTTGTAATTCCTTTAGGTCCTTCTCACATAATGATGAATTTTGTGTATATTTTTGTGAATCTGATTTACAATGCTTATCGGTGCATCGATTGTTTTAGGATTTAGAAGCAATTAAGAGATGCACGCTTTCTGATT